GAAAATTATGGAAAACGATGGAAAATGCCGGAAAAATCCAAGTTCCAAGGCCTCCCCAATTTTCCAGGGAAACGTTGGGAATTTTTTGGGAATCTCACCCGGAAGAACCTCGTAGATGTCGTCGCCTTCGGGCGGCTCCTCCGGGCCCAAATTTTGGGAATTTTGGGAATTTTCCATGGAATCGGAGCTGTCGACGTCGGTGTAGAGATCGTCGGGCTCGTCCTCGTCGCAGGGGATGGTGAGAGAGCTCAGATCTGGGAAAAATGGGAAAATGAGATGGAAAAATGGGAAAATTCATGGAAAAATGGGGAAATTCATGGAAAAATGGGAAATTTGGGATGGGAAATTGGGAAAATTCATGGAAAAAAGGGAAATTTGGGATGGGAAAAATGGGAAAATTCATGGGAAAATGGGAAAATGAGATGGGAAAATGGGAAAATTTGGGATGGAAAATTCCAGAGGGGATGGTGAGAGAGCTCAGATCTGGGAAAACGGGAAAATTCATGGAAAAATGGGAAAATTAGTGGAAAATTGGGAAACTCGGGATGGAAAATTGGGAAAATTAATGGAAAATTGGGAAATTCCAGAGGGGATGGTGAGGGAGCTGAGATCTGGGAGAAACGGGAAAATTCATGGAAAAATGGGAAAATTCCAGAGGGGATGATCAGAGAGTTCACATCTGGGGAAAAACGGGAAAAATCATGGAAAATTGGGAAATTCCCAAATTCCAGAGGGGAGGGATGGAGCTCCGAATCCCCATCCCAGAACGAGCGGAAAAGCAAAGGAAAAACCCAAAGAAAAAAAGGGAAATTCCAGGAAATGGCCCCGAATTCCCCACGGGAAAATTCCAGAGGGACTCTCTGGAATTTTCTGGAATTTTTCGGGATTTTTTTTTCCCCTGGAATTTTCTGGAATTTTCTGGATCCCCTCCCCACGGAATTTTCTGGAATTTTTTTTCCCCCTGGAATTTTCTGGAATTTTTTCCTGGAATTTTGGGAATCCCGGACTCACCCTTGAGCAGGAATTGGATCTGCTCCACCCAATCCTCGGCCTCGGCCACGCTCGGAGCCGTGAACTGCGGGAAAAATCGGGAATTGGGATGGATTTGGGATGAGGGGATTGGGGGGAAAAAATGGGGAAAAAGGGAAAAAATGGGGAAAAAAAGGGAAAAAACCCCGGGAAAAATTGGGAGAAAAAAAGGAAATTCCCATTTTCCCCACAAAATTCCCATTTTTTGCCCAGAATTCCCATTATTCTTCCCAAAATTCCCATTTTTTCTCCCAAAATTCCCCTTTCCCCTCCCAAGATTCCCATTTTTCCCCCAAATTCCCATTTCCGCAGCCAAAATTCCCTTTTTTTCCCCAGAATTCCATTTTTTGCCCCCAAATTCCTGGTTTTTCACCCAAAATTCCCATTTTTTCCCACAAAATTCCCATTTTTCTCCTAAAATTCCCGTTTTTCCTCAGAATTCCCATTTCCCCTCCCAAAATTCCCATTTCCCCCCATAATTCCCATTTCCCATCCCAAAATTCCCATTTTTTCCCCCAAATTCCCATTTCCCATCCCAAAATTCCCATTTTTTCCCCCAAATTCCCATTTCCTCTCCCAAAATTCCCATTTTCCCCCCAAATTCCCATTTCCTCTCCCAAAATTCCCATTTTTCCCCTAAAATTCCCATTTTCCCCCCGCAAATTCCCATTTTTTCCCCAAAATTCCCATTTCCCCTCCCAAAATTCCCATTTTTCCCCAGAATTCCCGTTTTTCCCACCTCGTAGGAGCGTTTCCCGGGACACACCAGTTGGAAGCAGCAATTTTTCCGGGAATCTTTCCGGAGTTGGGAATTCCGGCGGGCGCTGTAATTTTCCATGGAAAAAATTCCCTTGGGCTGTTTACCTGGAAAAAAACCCCAAAAATCCGGGAATTTCACCAAAATTCGGGATTTTCCACATTTTTTTTTTCCCATTCCCGCGTTTATCCACAGAGGGAAACTGAGGCACGCGGGGGGGAAATTTTGGGGAAAAATTGGAAAATTCCCAGGAAATTTTGGGAAAAATTGGGATTTTTCCCTTCCAGGACCTGGGAATTGTTTTTTTCCAGGGAAAAATTTGGGAATTTTGGGGTTTTGCGCTCACTTTTGTCGTTGGTGAAGTAGAGGAAATTCCCACGGGTGAGGACGCACCAGCGCCTGTGCCAGTCGGAGCCGAAAAAAACCGGATCTGGAAAATGGGGAAAATACGGGAAATTGGGAAAAATGGGGGGAAAAGGGGGAAAATCATGGAAAGTGGGGAAAATTAGGGAAAGAGGGGAAAAATATGGGAAAAATGGGGGAAACGTGGGGGAAAAATCAGGGAAAAGTGGGAGGAAAATCAGGGAAAATGGGGGAAGAATGGGAAAATTGGGAAAAATCAGGGGAAAGGGAGGGAATTGGGGAAAGAGGGAAATAATCAGGGAAAAATGGGGAAAGTGGGAAAATTGGGAAAAAATTGGGGAAATGGGGGAAAGTGGGGGAAAAATGGGAAAATCAGGGAAAAAATCGGGGAAGGAGGAGGGAAAATTAGGGAAAATGGGAGGGAAAATCAGGGAAAGGGGAGAAAAATCAGGAAAAATGAAGGAAAAATGGGGAAAAATGGGGAAAAAAATGGGGAAAAATGGGGAAAA